ACTTCTTTGGAAATGAATAAACCAAGTGGGCATTTTTACAGAAGAATAAAATAAAAAATACAAAAAGACACTAAAAAGAGGTACACAACATTGACATTACTACACAAAATTATCATTTTGAGTAATATGTTTAAGGTAATGAAGGAAAGGGCATAGAATATAAGTAAATTGAGATCTATAGAACAGAATTAAATGTACCTTTGAAAATATGACAGAACATCCATAGACAGTCTTGATAGTCCAAGGGACATATGTAGAAGATGACTAGTAAGCTGAACAAAAGGTCAAAAGAAATATTCAAATTGTTGAGAAGAGAATAAAGAATAGGAAATAGTGAAACAAGTAAAAAAAATATGCTGGGAGTAATAGATCAATTCATCACACATGAGCGGATAGAAAACACAATAGTAAGCTGTCTGTGAAGAAATAAGAGTCAAGAATTCAATGAATTTCTCTTGACACATATGAAGATATGAGCTCACATATTCAAGAAGATCTGAATTCAAAGAGAAGAGTACAAAGAAAACTACATCTGGAAACATCTCACTAAGGCTGAAGGAAAGTAAAAACAAATAAAATTATCTCAAGATTAGTCAGATGCCAAGACAAACAACTTTCAAAGCAACAGTAAAACTTGATAGGTTTGCAGAAAGACATCAAGGAACAAGCTAGTTTCCCGGAAAAGAAATGTCACTAAGTAAAAGTTGTGCCATCGTAAATCTTCTTTAGGATTACCTTATGTAAAAATGCTTTCAGTCATACAAATGAAAAAAAATAATTAGCTAATTTTCAATTAAAATGTATTAATTAACAACTTTATAATTTGTCAGAGAAAACTGTAACAAGTGAAAGGTTAAAAATATGCCACTGATTTGAAATGCTAGATGATTGAAACAGATATCAGAAACTAAATTCACAAGTATAAAGTTACTTTTTAACTGAAGGATTAAAAATTTAAAAGTTATTGAGCTCATTGTGCATATTCATCAGATTTCTCTTCCTCTGGGTTTCCAGTCATTGCCATACAGGACTGCTGTCCTGCTCCATGAGAAAGGCACGGCAGAGAGGCTCATCTGCCCTTTGTGCTCAAAGAAATTGCTTCAAAGAAGAGCATTATTTATCATGCTTGATCACATGATAAAGTCAAAACTGCAATACTTTTTATTCCTATTGAGTTTATCATTTGTGCATGATAAAGCAGGCAATCTGTTAGTAATACGCTTAAGCACATTAAGATATAAAATGTTTCCAATGTATACTCAATCATTATCAATATATAGTAAATCGCTAATGGTCACTTCTAATTAATTTGTCTCAAAATATCTATGAGGGCTACTCTTGGATATCATGAAAATCAATCAAATAAACCTCTTTAAATTTATATTCACTTTACTAGTTCTGTTCTTACATAGACTTCTGAGTAATATACAGTATCTTTAATTCTATGTGTATAAACTTCATTAAAATTTTCTTTATTCTTTCACTAAAATATATACCTGGCCTAATGAGATGGATCAGTGGGTAAAGGCATTTACTGCTAAGCCAAACAACCTGGGGTCTATCCCCAGGACCCATATGGTGGAAGGAGAGAACCATCTCCTGCAAGTTGTCCTCTAACCTCCCTACTCAAACTGTGACACATATGTGCATGTACAAACACACACACATACGCACACATATTAAATAAATATAATTAAAATAAAAATATACTTGCTAATATTTAAACAATCCTGTGACTACTGATTTTTGTTCTTGTTTCGTAATTGCAAAAGTAATTACGGTACTAAAAGTTTTCAGCCATATTTTGCTAGCCAATATCCATTTCAAACAATATCCAAAACAACACATATCATGTTTTGTGATCCATAAGCATCCTTCAACCAGAAAAGTCATAAGATGAAGTCATGGAAAGATCACAAGATGACCTTGTAATTAGGTTCAAATTACAAATTTGCCTGAAGAACTGAAAGAAGTTTCAGATCCTGGAGATGCTAAAGTGTCTATTAAATCAACAAGCTAGAAACATGAAAATAAGAGACCATTAAACTGTTATGAACTCAGCACTGTGTATCAGCTCCTCTTGGAAACCATCCAGTATCCTGGCATAATGTCTGTGAAGGAAGAAGACCCTACTTGGACACAGGTAGCACCATCCCATCATCTCGGGGCCCAGATTAAAAAGAGGAAAAAAGAGTAGAAATCTCAATGAGCAGAAACATTCCCCTTTCTCCACTTCCTCTTAACTTGATGTAGCCAGCCATTTGAACAGTGGCCCAGATCTGAGTCGTTCTGGCCACCATGTCTCCTCGCCTTGATGGACTCTAGTCCTCTATGTTGTGATTCAGAATGAACCTCTGCTCACTTAATTCACTTTTTATCAAGTATTTGATCAAGGAGAGAAGAATAATTGATGCAGTGCTCTTCCCCATGGTGTCTACACATCACAAGCATATGCTCTGGACAACATGCTCTGGCTTTGTGTCTGTAATAACTTCTGCCTCTTCTCCTTTTCTAGTTCAGAGTCCCTGCGTAGTAAGGTAGCCAACGGACTTGTGAATACGTAAATAACTCTATGGAAATAATCTCAAGTTCAAAGTCACTATTTAATTTTCTGTGCTTTTAAAAATCATACTGTACTGTCTATCAACTGTATAATATTCAACTATGGGACGCTTATATTTTGTGAAGATTTTCCTAAGATATTCCATTACACACACAGTAAAATGCTGAAATATTTTCAGGTTTTTTTGGGGGTGAGTAAATCAGTAAATCAGTTTTGAAGTAAAGCATTTTAGATATGAAATGCAATCTATTCTTGGTTTTATATTTTAGTTAACCTGTAAATGGATAAATCTTATTTTTAAAGGCAGTATCATTTGTGAAATATGAGTCAATTGTGACAAAATGTTCTGCTTGTTGTTGGAGGGTTGCCTGTTCAGAATTGTGTGTGTGTGTGTGTGTGTGTGTGTGTGTGTGCCTGGTTTAGGTCAATGTATATTTTTGTGTGTAGTTCTGGTTTCTCTGGGCTAGTTTAAAGAGTGTCTGCTATCATATTACCAGAGGGAAGCAGTCAACATGAGCAACAGGTATTAAGAAACCTTTTCGTAGAGCCCAATATGCTTTATAGTACAGATGTAAAAAAAAAAAAAGTTATAAAGTAAGCCTTTGAAGACAAGAATTCAAAACACAACACAATAAACATTCTCTTTTGGATTACAGAAAAAATGCTGTTGCCAATTTCGGGAGTCCTAGATCAAGGCAAACTCTCTTTGGTCAAATTATCTGCCTCTACATACAGCTTCACATAATCACAGACTTGGTTCACCTCTCAGACAAGATGAGCATGTAAAGCCCAGAATGTACATTTCTCCATCAAAATACCAGTCTGTGGTAGCCTTCCTGGCTCTATGACTCATATTTATAAATATGAGTCCTAGCAGCTCAGAGCTTTCTTCGTTCCCAGTGCATGCATTGCCTGTCATCTTTCCCTTGAAAGGAGCACAAACTATCAGAAGAGGAAATCATCGATGGAGAAAATGCCTTTTGATCCTCTGTCTTAGAAGTCCTTCATTAAGATCAGGTATTTTTAAAGAAAAATAATAATAATAATAATGTAAAGGAAAACATTAAGCCTTTTACAGGCAAAATAAAATGATCTTTGAATTATAACTGGCATTGCCTTATTCTGGTATCTTGTCATTATCTTAGGGACCCCCACACCCAATGAACAGTGCTTATTCCACTAGTCCAGGAATGTAAATTAGCTACTAAGTTTTTTTAAACCTCTCCAGTCGCAGGTTTTGGAAACCCGTTCTTTTATAAGTGAACCCACAGTCTCAAGATTTTATTGCTTTCTATCTTTATCACAAGGTGGTTGGTGGGAGGATGGCATAAACACGATTGCTCCTATGGATATCACCATTTCCTTGTGATATGAAAATTGGACTCTTCCCAAGCAGTGGGAATTCATAGATAAACCATGTGTCCCCTGGGCAAGAAGCCAGCAAGCTTGGGTAGTGGTGTTCTGACGCACAGGGTGCTACTCTCACGGAAGGCACTTGAGCAGTTTCTGAATTGCTTCAAGAACACAAGCAGCACCACAGTAGAGATAGTGATGCTTAACCTGTTTATCAAATAAATCTTTTTCCATAGTAACAAAAGAAATTGCCAAGCAAACCTGGCGCTGTCTAAATGCACACTGGCTATGGCTCTGCTTCCATTCACTGGCCACAAACAATACCCCTAAGAAGCGCGTCAGAAAGGACAAAAACATTAAGAGCCGTTCTCGGTAAGTTTGCTGTTTCCCTTGTACCACTTGATATAAAACTTATACATCTCTCTGCCTTCAATATCCACTTCTCTTTCTTGGGATCCAAAAGCCAGCTCCACACCTGGATAACTGCGACACTCAGCCCTGAGCGCAGGACCCTTCCCGTGTCCAAAGTCCCAGCTCTCCACTTCCCCTGCCGCAGGAACACAGTGGCATCTCTCATCCAGGCTGGGGCAAACCAGGACTGAACCCAACAGTTGGAGAGTGTGCTTCAGGTTTGAGCGCATCGCATCCGCGTTAAACCCAAGACAAAGGCTATACTCAGTCTTTCGTGGTTAGCGCCCTTCCCAGGGTAACCCGTATTAGCTTTCTCTCTCAAGCCCACCCTATGAGCCTGGAAAGTCACCGACAGGAATTGCTTTCAGAGGGGTGCGGCCGCGGGTGTAAACAGTGCTTACTTGTAGTCTACCAAGGGAACTACCCAGGCAGCACCGGGCTGGGGAAGCCTAGCCAGAGATCCTGCCTTCAGCAGCTTGGGTACTCCTCTCAGCAGAGGAGCAGGACCTCCCGCGCGGAACCCACCTGGGCAAAGGCACCTGCTGCCAGCGCTCCAAGACAGTAGTGTGCCAGCTCTTGCGCTCTGAAGCAGCGACAAACCTCCCAGGAACACAAGCCAAAGAGAGTGTGGACTCTGCCTAAGGTTGATCGAATGGTCTTTGCAATCACTCACCGGGGAGGGTGAAGTCGCTCAGGCGGCCGGAAGGCTGCCTGCAGCCGGCATCCCAGGGCAACGGCATCCTCCCATCCTTTTGTCAGTGACTGGTGGTGCACTCCTCAGCTCACAAACGTGCAGTCGGGTGGCAGGCAGCCCGACTCTGGCTAGGCTCCCCAACCCTCTTCCCTCCTCTGAGCCTCCTCCCCTTCTCTGTCCCCCTCCACCAGCGGCACTCACTGGGCTCCCATGATGTCATCCAGTGGAAATCTGCCATGCTCAAAAACTGGAATAATCCAGCGCTCACGCGGGGAAAGCAGAGCAGGCAGAAGATGCAGCAGAGGCTTTAGGAGTTCCCAGAACGTAATGTGGACCCTACTGTTAACTGGAGTCAAGGACAGGACACAGCAGGGACTTTGGAAAGGGGGTGGGGGCGCACAGTGGTGCCAGAAGCTAGGAAAGACAGTGTTTTCTGCTCTGAGGATTCTTAAATCAATATGTAGATTAGTGACGAAAGACATGGGTATGGAGAAAGTTTTGTCTATTCTGTTGTTGGTCTTCTTTTCACTTCTCGGGAGTCACGTTTCTGTGATGATTCTTGTGCTGCAGACAGGATAATAAAGAGCACCTCAAGAAACGCTGAAGCTAAGGTCTCAACAGAAAGTTCAGGGTGCCTTGTCAGTACCTGCCTTGGGTATGTGCATCTAAAGTTAAGAGGTGATAAAGGGTGGATGATCTATGACTTTTACACTGTGAAGTCTGCTGCTCTGGGATTGGAAGCCACCAGAATCCCTAGCTATCTAGGTAACACTCCCCTCTCATGCTAGCAGACAACCTAGGGCTGCCACCAACGAGGGAAACAAGTCACAGAACTTTTAATCAAAGGTGTGATACGGGCTCCTATGCTTTAATGCTTTGTAATACTCACAGAAGTCCTATTAGAGGAAACAGACCAAATAGCCTTAAATAGTTGCAAGGTTTCACCAGTTTTAATACATATGCACAACCTACAATCTGAGGTCCAGGTCTATATGAATCTAGAACAGCTGCAGGTCAGAAATTCTTGCTGTTAAATACCAGTCACTGGTCCTGAAGAGGTCTGCGTGCAGTGGTTAAGAGTGCTCACTGTTCTTGTGTGGAATCTGGATTCACATTCCTAACCCCCTCAGCCCCCATCAGAAGATTTACCTTCCTTCACAACTCCAGTTCGCAAAGATGAGATCCAGTGACCTCCTTTGATCTCTGCAAGCACCTGAACACACATGATCCACAAACACAACTCAGGCCCACACAAATACACATAAAATAAAATAATAACTCCCAACAAAACAAACAAACAGCAAGCTCCAACATCTGAGGGTTTATACCCTCAGCTGTCTGTGATTCAAGGAGACTCTTGACTTTCCCAGGATGACCTACCACTTCTCATCCCCAGAAGAGGTTGGGCTACAGAAATCATCAGTGTTGACTGTGGAAATGTAATTCCAATACCTGAGAACAGCATCTAGACTCTTTTATACAGAATCACACCTGCTGGGTAGCATTTATTACTAATGTAAGTACAGTTTAGAACTCTGTGTCTTTTGTAAAGAGAACGAGGACCCCACATAGCAACAACTGTAGCGACGACACTGAAGCCTAGTCACCATGTTAGATAGGTTTGTTCATGCATTATGAAATTGTGAAATTCAGTAGGGCTTCTCCCAGGAAAAGATAATAAACTACCTGTAAAAAGGCGAGAACAGCGTTGGAGCAATAGCTCAGTTGATATAAGCACTTGCTGCTCTTGCAAAGGACCAGAACTCACAACGACCTGTAACTCCAGCTCCAGGGTACCTCAGCTAAAGACAGAGGCTCATGTGCACATCTCTTAATCATGCTGGAATGCTGACTGACTTGGTCTTGTCTATGTTTTGTGCAGGCAACCACAGCTGCTGCCAGTTCACAATAATCCAGACGTGTCCATTAAACATTGTTTTCCCCTGGTCTTCCTTGATTTCTGGCTCTTAAAATAGTCTCACCCACTGTCCCATGATATACTCTGCACACTCAACGGAGGGTACGTGTTCTGTTTATGACTGAGCTCTCCACAGATATTAGCTCTTTGTACTTTGACCGGTCTTGGGTCTCTGTATAATCACTGTCCACTGAAGAAGCATGTTTCTCTAATAAGGATTGAAAGCTTCACTAATCTATGGCACAGAGATGTCTATTTAGAAAGTAGTTAGATACTGTATCTACTTAGCAAAATCCTAGCAGTAGGCTCACTCCTGTGGTTTATGGTCTCCCCAGTTATAGGTTCTGGACCAGGCTTATCGTGCCAATAATGAGTTTACGCCTAAGGAGCAGATTCTAAATCTAATCAGAAAGCAGTTCGTTATCCCCTACTATTTGTGCTACTATTATACCCACGGACATGCTTCACCAGGAAGATCATTATTTAGCTCATAGAGCTCACGGCTGGGTAACTCTGCTATTGAATCTCACTCTATGGCCAGCACTGCACCTTCCGGTGCTGTGACAGTTAATTAGTGAGAAATGAGTGTCAAGTCAGCGTCAGCTTGATCTCCTCAAGTTCTGGGACCAAAGGGTAAGAGTTCTTTATCATATGGTCTCACCATCAAATTCTGGTGGGCAACCAAGAATAAAGTTGACGGCCTATATGGTTTTGGGGATCTCTTGGGTCCTTCTGACCTACAAATCTCAGGGGAAGTATTTGAAGTACTTGGTATGAGGTTTTTAGTCAGCCATATGTTTTAATGTTTAAAATTTTAAGATATTAATCTATTAGTTCTTTCTGAGAACAAAAGACCATATCAATGTCATGAACAACTTCTAGAAATGATTATTTTTTTAAATATCAAAATAGTGAAGATCGTTTTGAAAAATAATAGCAAATCTGAGATAAACTAGTGAAAACACTGAAAATGAAGGATTTGGGGGTGAAAGTAAAGGCAGATTCTGATGTGGAAAAGCACTCCAGTTGCATTATAAAATGAATTAGAACCCTTAATGTAAGGACATCTGAGAAGGTAAAGTTGTAAAACCTGCTTTGTGGGTGGGTCTTTCATACCCCATTTGTCTTCACTGTATCTTCTGTTCCTAATTATTATTGAAACTAGTGCACAAGCACAGAAACAATGCTAGATCTGGAGATGTTAATAACCTAACCATAGAGACAAAAAATTCATTACTAGGCCTGCTCTAAATAAGAAAGAAAGAAAGAAAGAAAGAAAGAAAGAAAGAAAGAAAGAAGGAAGGAATAACATTGCTCTAGTGACTACGGAAATCCTAGCTGTTAAGAGTACTGGGTGCTCTTCCAGAGGACCCAGGTCCAATTCTCAGCACTAACATGGCAGCTCATAACTGTCTGTAGCTCCAGTCCAAGAGGATCCAACACCCTCTTCTACTTCTGTCGGCACTATATCTGCATGATTCACAGATATATAAACAGGCAAAAATATCGATGCACATAAAATAAAATAAAATAAAATAATGACAAATAAATTACTACCTTTAAAAAAATTAAATAAAAACTGTCACCAGTGTTAGTGGTTGATATGCACTGGTTGTTTTCAGGTTCTTGGCCTCTTCTTCAAGCAACTGAAATAAAGACACAGATTTGCAAAAGCAGCAACTTTATACAAAGCCAAATAATTATACAAAGCCAGAAAGAAATGTATTAGTTAACGGGCCTGTTGAGAAATGTTTTGGCAATCACCATGACTTTTCGTCTTTAAAAGTTGAGTTTATCCTACACCTGGGGAAAAAAAAACTTGTCTTATTAAAAGATAGATACATAGTGAGGGTGCCCGTAATCCCATAGTAAGGGTGCCTGTAATCCCATAGTAAGGGTGCTTGTAATCCCATAGTAAGGGTACCTGTAATCCCATAGTAAGGGTGCCTGTAATCCCATAGTAAGGGTGCCTGTAATCCCATAGTAAGGGTGCCTGTAATCCCATAGTAAGGGTGCCTGTAATCCCATAGTAAGGGTGCCTGTAATCCCATAGTAAGGGTGCCTGTAATCCCATAGTAAGGGTGCCTGTAATCCCATAGTAAGGGTGCCTGTAATCCCATAGAAAGGGTGCCTGTAATCCCATAGTAAGGGTGCCTGTAATCCCATAGTAAGGGTGCTCGTAATCCCATAGTAAGGGTGCCTGTAATCCCTCAGTGAGGGTGCCTGTAATCCCATAGTAAGGGTGCCTGTAATCCCATAGTAAGGGTGCCTGTAATCCCATAGTAAGGGTGCCCGTAATCCCATAGTAAGGGTGCCCGTAATCCCATAGTAAGGGTGTCTGTAATCCCATAGTAAGGGTGCCTGTAATCCCATAGTAAGGGTGCCTGTAATCCCTCAGTGAGGGTGCCTATAATCCTACAGTGAGGGTGCCTATGATCCCATAGTGAGAGCCTGTGTTGATGGAAGCACTTGTTCATTTCCCAGCCACCCAAACCTGAAATAATCACACAGAAACTCTATTAATTACCATGCTGTTTGGTCAATAGATTAAGTGTATTTCTAACTAGATCTCACATATTAAATTAACCCATTTCTATTATTTTGTATTTTATCATGAGACTTGTGGTTTACTGGTAAGGTTCCAGCTGGCAGTTTGCATCTTTTCCTGCAGCAGCTGCATGGTTTCTCTTTGACTCCATCTTCTTTCTCCCAGCATTCAGTTTAGTTTCCCCCTAGTTCTATTTTGTCCTGTCATAGGCCCAAGAGCTTTTTTATTTGTTAAGCAATAAAAACAACAACATATAGAGAAGGACTTTCCCACATAGAGCCTGTAATTTCATAATGAAAGTACCTGTAATCCCACAGTAAGTGTGCCTGTAATCCCACAGTGAGGGTGCCTGTAATCCCATAGAGAAGGTGCTTATAATACCATAGTGAGGGCACCTATAATAGAGTGTGTGCCTGTAATCCCAGTAACCCTTCAGTGGGATGAAAGGTGAAGAGTAGGGAGTCCCCAGAAACCCAACTCTCCCAGTGTGTGCAGCAGGAAATCCAAACAAAAAGAACCTGTCTCAAAGGTGGAAGGTGAGAATTGACCCCTGAGGTTGTCATTTGACCTCCACATATGCATCATGATACAAATTCAGATACACTACTGTTCATGCACAGACATGTACACATACACTGTAAATATGCACACAAGTCTTTTCCTAGTAGCTGTTGGCCTACCAGCATCCTTGCCTGAGAAATGACAGATTTCATT